TTCGAAGACCAAATGATTAGGAATTTATCGAAAGTAATCGACGAATAATTAAAATAAAGTTAACGTAATTTTTAATTGAAATAAGACTTAAAAATATACAGTTTTTCAAAAAATGTAAATAAAAGAATTGAATGAATAAATGGCTATAAATTTAATCGCTGTCATCGCTTCCAAAGATGGCGGCGGCGCTCTCTTTGGTCTTACGGCGCGCCTCTTCGTCGTCGCTATCGCTGTCACTCGACGACGAAGAATCAGATGACGACGACGAGGACGACGACGACGATGAAGAAGAGGAAGATTTGTCGCTTGGGCTCGACTTACGGGTCTCAGTCTTTTTGGTGGTCTCATCCTTATCGTTGTCCTTATCAGTAGTCTCTTTCTGGGAGTCATTGGCCGTATTGTTGTCTTTGTTTGTGTCCTGAATCTGTTCCTCTTCTTCCTGCGGCGGTTCCAATTGAGTCATTCGGATGTCTTGAGTCCTAAACTCTTGTTCGTTAAGCGATCGGTGTTTGACGACGAGCTTCGAGTTGTTGGGCGCCGAACCGGCCTTCACTCGTCGTTTGCTGAGCCGAACTCTAGTCTCCAATTCGTTATAACAAATACAATCGTCTCTCCAAATGAAGAAATAGTTCTCTTCGTAGCCTTTGGTGGCCTTATTCTTGACGTTCCAGTTGTACTCTCTGGCCATCACATACTCGTACTCTTCTCCCTCTCCGTACTCGCGTTCCTCCACGTCATCGAACTTTCTCTTATTGATCGTGTCTTCTGTGGGCAAGAAGTAGGCGACAAACTGTTCGCCACTTTCATCCATCACTCCTCTGATCATCGCCTGAGACATCTCCTCCTCCTTAGTGATGGGCGCCGGGTCTGCATCGAACATGACCTGAGCGAACGGGTACTTCCAGAGGTTGAAGTCCGGGAACACCGGCAACACTTCCACAGCAGTGACGCCTGGTTTGCCCGGATGTTCCACAATGGGCTTCTGCGCCGCCTCGAAGGTCTTAGTGATGGCCACGATCTGTGATTCCCGATCCAAATACAGTGTCTCCTCTTTCATCTTCTTCTTCACGTTATATCCGACTCTAAATTCGCGAACAAAACAATGAATCAATTGTTTTGCGAACAAAACCAATCAAAATAACACAAACTTTGTCTCCGTTTTGTCACTACTGGCGCCATATCTGTTGAATTCGGTGGATATGTATTCAGTCTTCTTAAGCCAAGGGATGGCTTTGTTGTGAGAACGCGAACGCTTCGAGTCCTGCGGAGTGTTCACCTCTTCCTCGAGCAGCTTCTCGTCTTCGTCGGCGAGTTTGCTGGCGTCCAGAGGCGGGACATATGTCTCCGGGTTTATTAGATCTATGGTCACACCCAAGTCATGCTCCGTCAAGAGGTCGTGTTTGTAGTTCTTCTCCAGTGATGTCGGTTTGTATGACACGAATCTGATCCGCAAAACCAATGGTCAACAAAGCATTCAAACAAAGCATTTAATGGCAAACAAAATACCGGTTCGTCTCAAACGGATAGGTAATGAACTTCGGGTCAAAGGGTATGTCCGGCAAAGCGTTGCAGTACTTGACCCGACAGACCAGGTCTGACCTGACAATCACAAGACAATCCCATTTAGTGGTCAATAATCATAATAACAGGGTTGGGAACCGCTGTGTCTCAAGACATACCTGCGCTCAACGGGTCGTTTGGGCCGCTCTTTGGGCGCGCTTTGTATGACGGGAGCCATCGGTGGACGCAATCAACGAATGGATTCAATGGACGATTAGATTCAATGTCTCATCACTTCTTCAGTCATCGAAATTGAAATTTAAAATCAAAACTAAAATTTCGTTCAAAACACAAAAAACACGACAAATGACTGACTTTTCCCTCAATTTCAGGGTTTTTGGCAAACATTTGGTGTAAATGTAAACCAAAATAACAATCAAAACAAACAACTCGTTTGCCATTGAAATTGTGAACAAATAAATGACACAAAACTTACCAAAAGTGACCGCAAGTGACCAAAAGTGGTCATCACTTCATGAACTCAACGATTGATAAATACTGATAACACAGTCATCGCTAGTAATACGTGAGTCAATGCTTACCAATGTTTGAATGACTCATTAGTTCATTAGTCAATGTAACTGTAAATGAGCTATACTTTGCATGAATGTCAATCTAACCACAATCTAACCATGCTACTTTTATCATACTTTATAGCTTGTAATATAGGACACAATACATCGATGTCCTTATGGAAGATGTTTTGGGCGAAACAGAGTATTCAAAGGATAAGAGTTTTGAGACCGAAGTGACCACTAGTGGTGATTATGGGCTGAAGAGCGGACACGAGAGCGTCGAAGACCCGGCCGTCAAATGCCATCTCATTATCCAATTAATCGAAGAGTCGGAAGAGTTCGACAGCGCTTACAATGCCATCAATGCTCTCAAGTCTTGCGCGCAGAGTTTGGCCGACGGTTTGGATTCAGACGACGACACCAATCCGTTGAGGGATCAGCTGATGGCGAAGATTAGCGAAATTGATTTCTACACAAAAGTGGGACAATTGACTGGCCTTCGGTCGTGGAAAGACGCCAAACACAACCTCAACGGCTTCGACATCCTTACCATCATTAAGACTAAACGCAAATACAGTTTAGCTGTCGATTGGTTTAAGATCCACGGCTGGGAAGCGGTCACGTCTGACCTCCAGTTCGACCTCTTAGTGTTGGCCTATTGTGAGCAAAAGGATTTGACTGCTTTGACACAACTCTTGTTAACAACGGAACAAATAGAAGTGAATATCGTCTCATCGCTGGAAAAACTTGTGAACAATATCTGTGACTTTGATTTAAGAGCTTTCGTAATAGAGTTTATTTTAAAGCATTTCATAAGCCGTTTGAATGACGAGACAATAGTTTATTACAAGAATTATATGACAGGTATTGAACTACTTAAAGGACTCGACACTAAATTTCATAACAATTACGTGAATATAATGACTAAACCACTGCTTATTGTGGAACAAATGCTCATGAATTTGG